CCTTGGCCTTTTTAATTATTTTAAAATAATATTCCTTTTCCTCATGAGACTGGTGAGGCCCCGCCTCCCCTGCCTCTAGTGACTGCACGTCACTGACATATATATGGAACAAATGGTCATATAATTCAAGAAACATATTTATTAGTTAGTAGTTTGAGTGATAAAGCCATTTATGTCATGATTATGTCAAGAGGAAATAATCTGCATCTATCCATTAGATAATTAATCTAACAAATTCTTTATTTATTATATATCTATCTGTTAACCATATGCAGGTGAATTTTTATGATGGTCACATTTACCATGCTTGCTTTGCTATATCAAACTGATATGCCCTGGTCAGCTCATCAAGATGGGCTTGAAGCATAGGTTGCATTTCTTCTCTGGGAGAAGGAGTTAATGTTGCAGTAGACTGTTGTCCAAAAGAAATTGCAGGGGAAGAAGCCACTCCTCGGACAGGAGGTGTAGGAACTCTGTCATCTTCTTCAAGTTCATCCTCCATTCCCTGATGCAAATAAGTCTGGACTGGTAAAGGTGGGCACCAATCATCACTGTTGTACCTACAAAATAAATAATTTTGGTTCACATTTGAGTCTTAAAGTTTTAACAATTATGTAATAAAGCTGGTAGATATTCATCATTGTTGCTAAGAACACTCTGACTTAAAATTCTGCTCAACCATGAAATTCACAGGGTGACTTTCTAAATTTTGAGACTACAACACCGGTCTGTTATGAGGCTAACACTGGAAGTGTCACACAGGGGGAATAAATGTATACTGCATTGAATTCCTGCAGGAAAAAGGTAAGATATAAACCTACTAAAATAAATAAGCTAAAGGGTATTTACTAAGTGAAGTATTAGCATACAGTTGTAGAATTAGAATAAACATGTCACTTGTTTATTTCAGAAAAATTAAGATTATATCTTTTCTCCCTTTTCAAAAATATTATTCTGACTTCTGACAGTGTTCTAATCAACAATAAAAAGCTCTTACTAGTGTTTTTAAAATACCCTTCCTTTGGCTGATATGATCAGCAATGTCAAGCAAACAAATCATTGTGCAAACTATGGGACAAATGCAATTGTGTGTTTTGCTAGTATTATTTATAGACAATTAATGTTAAATATTTAGTTCTTGACTTACAATGGCAATTGAGATTGCAATTTCTGTAGCTAAGCTAAGCGATGTGATCATAAACTGCAACTGCATTAGAGACAGCAATCCCTCCAGTTCTAGTTGCCATTGTTAACTGAATTCCATGTTGATAGATGAGCAAGTTCCTGCTAGCTTCCCACAACCAAGTCAGTGAGAAAGCTGAAAGGGAAATTGCAATTTTATGCTGTCTGCAAGCTTGCCTGCAGACTGATACGTGACTGCTGCCAGGCAGTAGGGGGTACAAGGAGATGCACAAAAGTTCAAGAGATATGCAACAAGGCTCAGGGAAGGTGTGTGTGTGTGTGTGTGTATGCAAGGTGCCAAAATGGTGTAGTGATGGTGTGCAGGGTTGCATTATAGTTGGAGAGGGTGCATTATGATGTACAAGGATTTGAGGAAGGTACAGGGAGGAAACACAAGGATGAATGGAGGTGCACAACAGGTGAGGGAAATGTGGCAAGGCCTAGGAGAGTGTGTGAAGGTGCATGAGCATACATGGGGATATGAGGGAAGTGTGGCAAGGCTCGTGCAGGATATGTGATAGTACAAGGGAGATGTGTTGAGGCTTGAGGAAGAAGGGCTCAACAGGGGTGAAATTCAACTGGTTCGGACTGGTTTGGGCGAACCGGTAGGGAAGGATATTTGAATCGGTTCACGCAACTGGTAAAAACCATCCCTGATTGGCCCTGCCCATGCCTGCCTAGTCGCCGCTCACCCATTCTGGCCACTTGCTTGCCTCTTCTGGCTGCTTGCCGCCAACCTTGCCCACACCTGCCCGGTTGCTGCTCACCCCTTCTGGCTTCTTGCTTGCCCCTTGTGGCTGTTCACCACTTTCCCCTTCCGGCCATTCGCCCCTTCCAGCCATTCACCCCGCTCACCCATCCCCATCCTATATATGTTGCCTTTGCCACATGGCCCAGCTAATCATCTCGCCAGTCGCCTTGTCTGCTCAGTCCATCAAAGATAATGCCACCCACTCTCCCTTTGCTTTGGGTTGCCCAGGGATGTGCCATTCCCCAAGGCCCTGGAGCAGTCACCCGCCTTGATCAGATCAGGGAATGCGCCATTCCCTGGCTCTGGCCTTGTTCCGGAACCTCCACCCGTTCACCTCACTCACCTACCTTCGCACCTGGGGGGGGGACACAGTGAGGCTTGACTGCCTTTCATGCCTTCAGCCACCGCCATTCGTTTATGGCTGCCTTCTAAGCAAATCCGCTGTGACATGTCCTTCCAGCTGCTGCCGTTCTTCTAGCGGGTCTGGCCACAAGCAGAACCAGCAGGCAATGGGGTGCATGGGTGCTGCCCTGTTCTGGCTGCGCATGCACACCCCATTGTTTGCCAGCGCCACTCATGGCCAGACCTGGCCAGGACAATGGCAGCAACTGAAGGGATGGTGTCGCAGTGGTTTTGTTCAGAAAGCAGCCGCTGGCTGCAATCTTTAAGGTATGATCCTGGGAGGGAGGCGGAACTATAAAGGAACAGACTGCGGCCAGTGGCTGCCTTCTGAGCAGCTGTGCTGTGAAGGGAGGGAGAAAAGTTCGACCTCTTTCTGCTGCAACATTCAAAGTGGCTGCTTCTCTCCTCCTTCTCGGGCTCATACACACCAAGCAAACATGAGAAGGAGGAGAGAAGCAGCCAGGTTGAACAATAGAAGACTTGGCTGGCTGAACTTTTTGGTCAAATCTGTGCTGATGGCTTGGTGGGTTGCAGTGAGTGACAAAAAGTTGGCCATGCCCACTCAGTCACATGACTCACTCAAGCCATGCCCACAGAACCAGTAGGGGAAAAACTGAATTTCACCACTGGGCTCAAGGGCTTGGCATGGGTTGAATGCAGATGGATTGGGGAAGGGCACATAGATGGGGTAACTTACCCTAATGGCTTGTAACTTTCCCTGCTAACTTTATTGATTTTCTGGTAAAGCTTGCAAGGAAGATAGCAAATGGTGACACATGATTGTAAGGCAGTGCAATTGATCAGGTATAATCTGGTTGCAACTGCCCATATTGCAATCATGTGATTACAAGTTCTGGCACAGACAAAATGCTGAGGACTGGTCATAACTATTATTTATTCAGCACTGTTGTAAACTTTGAATGATCCCTGAATGAATGGTTGTAGGACAAAAACTATCTATACAATGCACCAACACAATTAAGGGAAACATTTTGGGGAAATTCCAGTTCTTTTTCTCCTAGTTTTCTATTGTTTCGATCTAGGTTCCATTATTAACCAAGGATTCTTTGATTAAAACAAATTTTAAGTAAGAATTTCAGCTATGAAAATGTGTGCTGAAGAATTAAATGAAAGAATGTGTACTGTATACAAGGCCATATTAAATCATTCCAATAAATATCACAATAAATTCAGCATAATACATTTCATATATTTGTAGAATGGAAAAAGTCCATTTAGACCAGGGCTGTCAAACTCCCGGTCTGTGGGCTGGATGTGTCACATCCTAGCCATCCCCACCCCCAGTTTAGCGAAGGGGGGAAAAGTTCCAATACGTCACGTGGCGCCACCATGATGATCTGCCTTTGACACCCCAATTTAAACCTTTGAATGTCATCCTGGTTCGACATCTGCAAAAGACACAGTCTAGCTTTCACTTAAACACAGTCAGTGAAAAGAAGTCTATGAATTCAATGGTAATGGGTGATACTGGGTTTTTTAAAAAAAATATTATGAACATGTGCATAGATTCTAGTGGGTGGTAATTTTTTAAATTTATTTATTAGATTTTTAAATTCTGACTTTATTACTTGTTATAAGTAATTCAAGGCAGCAAATGTATATACCACTCCTTCCTCTTCCTCCCCCCCCCGACAAAAATCTTGCGAGGTGAGATGGGCAGAGACAGAGTACCCAAAGTCACCCAATCAGCTATCATTCTTAAGGCAGGGCTACAATTCAGTCTCCTGGTTTCTAGGATAGCATCTCAACCACTAGTTCACATTTATTATTAATACAAGAAACATTGTGAGTGGAATTTCCATCTCTAAGCTATAATATATAAAGGGCTTAGAGTATTTATAAATAAAGTATTATAAAGTATGGGAACCCAATGATTTACAAATTAAGTATGACTACCTGGAGAACTCAACTAGATCTCTTAGATACCCTCTTAGATCTGTGAGGTTCATACTATTGATGTGAATTATTAAGCACTATATTTCTTTGAGAAACAGAGTCTGGAGAATAAAGAAACCATACTGGAAATGACATGACATTACCAGTAGCAATTAAAGATATAACAGAAACATCCTTATCTATGGAAGATCATTTGAAATTAAATGTTCTCTTAAACTTTCAGTAGAGAGATAAAAATGTGCATTTCGAATGGAAGTGTATGGAGCAAGGATTACTCAGCCAGATGGATTAAAACACTATTGTAATAAATATATATGAACAGTCTTATGCTTACATTCTCTCTTCAAACTTCACAATAAATGGCTGTTCCACCTGACAATATTTGACAACTTTAGCTGTCAGATATTGGATTCAAAATTGTTAAAAGGAAAATACATTACCCTTGTTCTTGTGGATCCATCCCATAGTGTTCTAACTCTGTTCCTGGAAGTGGATGTATTGGAGGAGGTGGGAGAGGAACACTGGCCCAGGTAGACCCATTATTTTTCTGAGTCTTGGGAGTATTTTTGTTTTTCTTTTTCTTTCCTCCTTTCCCACCTGAAATCAAGAAGCATTACAAAAATATGAAGCTAATTATTTACATATTTCTATTTACAGAGTTTTGATTCCAGATGGCATATGTAAAAAAAAGAGTGAAAGCCTGAAAAGAACTTTTTTTCCTATTTTTATTTTACTATTATCAACAGCAAGATGTTATAGCTGACATAAGTTAGAAATAATAATAGAGTAGTTTGTGTGAAAAGTGCATGTATAATTGTCAAGCATTACTTCTTTTCATTTAACAAACTCTATATAACTTAATCACAATGAATCATGTTGAATAAAAGTTAAAATGATCTTGTGTCAAAATTGTATTTATAGATTTATTTTGTCTGTTTTAAATTTTCATGCAATATGTGTTAGGAAAAATAAAACACCAGAACAAAGTGCTTCAAAACAGAGTATTTATAATACTGTTTCTCAGTTATTAAGAACACAACCCTAAATATGATTCATTTGGCTTATTTTCAGACACAAAGCCAAGTGTAGGTGTTAAACTCTAAAAAACCTCTGTAAGCAGTTTATTGCTGGAATAGCTTTGCAGCATTTAGCTAAAAATGGAAAAAATAACGTATGTGTAATAATTTAAATCTATTCACTTCCATAGCCTCCCTCCTAATTATGAAAAAAAAGATTATACATGGAGAAATGAACAATGAGGAATGGAAAAAAATAGCTGAGAATGTACACACATATCCATGATGAGTTGTCACATTTTATGGAAATTCAAACTTAGTCATAGCTAATGATCCTACTATATTTGGACATAACGTGCTATATGCCAAAGAAGAATGAAACTTCAAACAGAATTAGGCAATTACACAGAAGAATTCTGAATGGAAAAAGGTAATATAGGACTAACAGAAAATGCACATAAAGAGGAATAAGTAAAGAATAATAAAAATAGAAACTGACAAGACAATAGAAGTACTAAAAATAACTTCACACATTTTTTTAATTTGGTTTTTTTTTTAAATGGCATGCATAATATAATTTGTTATACTGCAATGGGATTTTATACTGTGGTTTATGTACTGTGACCCATCTTGATGGCATATACAATAATTACACTACAATATCCAGCATACAACCTTTGCTTTATGTTTGGATATAGCTCTATATATTTTAAATGCTTATCTTTCAATTCCAATATATTTCTACTACTGAATTTATTGATATACTGGACCTCAGAGAGATTGTGATGGTGTATGAGATTATGTGTCCAATAATAGTATATACAATTTAAGAAACCCTCATAAATATCCTTAGAGAAAATCAAAAGTTGTAAAGTGATTAATTTATAGAAAGGAAGTACTGCTCCAGAAAGGTGAGAATTTTATGAAATAAAATTTCCATTCATGCTCAGATATATAGGAAACAAATTTTTAAATAATTTATATGTTCTCTAAAATAGCTTCTTAAATTGAGCAAATAAAGTATATTTTTCAAAAAAATAACATATATATTATATATGACTCGTTCAGGTATGTTAACACAATAGTTATACCCAGTAATTGATCATATATCTTGAGTCTTTTAGGTTTATAAAACTGAATTAAAAATATTTTTTTCCTTCTTATGAAAATTGCATTGAAACCAACCTGAGAGGCTGTCACTCCTTTCTGAACTGTTGTGAGAGCTGGTGGTGCTGAAATCTTGTGACTGGTTGTGTGGCATTCTATTAGACAATCCCTCAGCCAATCGGTAGTCAGGGATGTAAAGCAAAGCTAAGGGTTGAAGGGCAAAGGTCATAGTACCTTCTTGTGATTAGTTTATAGCACATGCACAACATGCAGTTAGCTCTTCATCAGTTTATAAGTAAGATCTATTAAATATTTAACCTAGTGTATCATATAGATAGCAGGAGGCAGTGCAGATATACGAAACCGGCAAAAGATGAAAGAAAATGAAATAGCATAATCCAATTAGTTGTATTTGTAAAGTTATAGAATACATGCAAGATACATTAAAGGAAGTGGGAACAGAAGAGGGCAAACCATAATTTTCTTCCCATGCAGAGAACATATTTATAAAAGAAAATTAAGAACAAGAATCACCATTGTTGCCTTTGCCCTGATCTGGAAGAGAGTAACCAAATCCCATTAAGTCACTTTTCTGCTGAATTGAACTTTTCCACTGAGGATCTGGTAAATCAACTGCCAATTCATGGATGCTGTTGGAATGCAGTATTTGTGTTGTGGCATACGGAGTAGCTTGTGTTATTTGGCTGGAACTATTGTAACTAGTTTTGGTACTGAAGTCAATGCTGCTATAAATGGCTCCATCAGAAAGCATTGTGGCAGTTTTATCCCCTGGCATTGGAGGTAACACATCTGTGATGCAAACAGAGAAATGGAAGGAAAAACCAGAATTAGAAAGAAAAAAATACTAAGCTATCAAGGTTTTAATATGAAAAATAAATATATCATGCTGCACATTTGCTTTTCAGCTGAGACAGTTTCTATGAGCCAGTGAAGGGAAAATGATATACAGCCTATGCTTTTCTATCAGCATCTTTGACAAACTTTGCACTTGTCCTTCACATCTCACTGCTTAAAAGCCATATTTCCTCCATATCTTCAGCTGTGAAAATGAAGCTTGGAATATTTCTGTCCTGAACACTATTTCCAATTGTTCATTTTATGTCAGTGGCAATGACACTGTCGTGCTCAAGGGATAAGATAAAAATCACAGAAGAAACAATCTCCTTGTATTTCTCCTCCTCCTCTGTTTCCGTCTTGCGAGCACTGAACAAACTACTAAATGAATACAGAGATATCTTCAGTTATTCTTTTGAAAGAGTCTTGGTCAATACTATTTTAATGTATTTGTTTTAAATTATCTGAATAATTTTAAGAAGGCAAAATAAAAAAATAAATTATTTTGGAATGTTTTCCTTTTTCCTTCATCTGATTGAAACTTGAAATATGCTAACACATAGTTACTTTAAATTTAATACTAGAAGATAAACTGATTTGATTATTCATCAAAATTATTTTAATCAACTAAGTGAAAGACAAAACCTTCATTATTATAAAATTAAGTGGAAAAATATTATTTATTCAAAATAATTACCACAATATTAATGTTTACCCTAATGCAGTTCAAAGACTTTTTGTTTATTTTTATTTCAATAAATGGCATAAATCAAATTCTCACATGGAAAAGTGAATAGCATAGTTAAGACCAATTTGTGAAAATTATATGCTTAGGAAAAGAAATGAAATACCCTGAAATACCATGATTTGTATACAGTTTGACAACAGCATTTTTGAAAAACAGTATAATAGAAGAGCAACTATTCATTATTAATCTGAATATTTAAATTAAATATGAATTATGATTTTCATAGGCCAGCCAAAAGATAAATATAGAAATAATGAATCAGAAATCAAGTGTCCAAATTAAAATAATAATATTCATTTGTAGAATTTTTATATCACAGACTCTGCAGACTCAATGAAGTTTAAAAGCTAATTCTTTATTCTGCTAGAGAGGGACCACCTTGAGCACACCTTCCACTTCTGAGAACCACTCACAGACAAATAGATGAATTGTATAGGTCAGTAATGGCAAACCTTTTTTTATGGCATGCCAGAATTGTGTGCACACACACTACTGCACCCCCCTGCGTGCCCACTCAATTCCCCACCCAAATGCGCATACGAACCCCCCTGTGCATGCACATGCACCTCTCCCCAGGCTACAGAGGCTTTCCTGAAGACTGGGGAGGGCAAAAATGCCCCCCCAGAGGCCCTCTGGAAGTCAGAAATGGATTGTGGCCCATTGGGGCTGTTTTTTGCTCTCTCCAGCCTTCGGAGGCTTTCCTGAAACCATTTCCAGGTACTGGAGGGCGTCTGGAAGGCTGGAAGAGGCCATTTTTGCTTCAGGAGATGGTGGTTGTGAGCCTCGGGGCTCCTGGGCAGCCCATGTGCACAGGGCATTGGGCTGGCTCCAGTTGAAAAATGTCAGAAAATTCCCCATTTTGCAAGGCAGTTCCCAAAGAGAATGAAGCCGGCGCGGCACTTCTTCCAAAAGCTGAGGGCCAGGCTCCTTTTCCTGTCTTGGCTGTTGGAAGACCACTGCATCTGTTTCATTCTCTTTGAGAGCCAGCTTGCTTGCCGCGGCGTGAGGTGAGCATTGCCGAAGAGAAATCAGTGAGAGGGGGAGAAGAAAACAAACTTCTGCTAGGGATGCCTTCTCCCTCTCCCCCTGATTTCTCCCTGGCAGCACTCACCTTGCATGGCAGCAAGTGGTCCGTGTGTGTGTGTGTATGTGTGTTTATATGTCTAAGGGACACTGGATGGGACCAATCAGCTGGGAGGCTGGCAAAGAAGTCTTGGTTTCCCCACTGCCATGGCTCTCGGAGGAAGGAGGCAAGAATGCTGGCTGGCACTTGCTTCCCTTACTGTTCACCATTGCCACCCCTGCAGGACGGAGCATTACCACCCCCTCCCTACTGGCTGCAGCCCAGGCCCTGCCTGCCCTGCTTAGCTGGCCGGCTGGCCGGGAAAGCAGCAAGGCAGCAAGCGGCAATGAGCATTAAGGGAAGTGAGCACCGGCCAGTATCTGCCAGGGAGAAATCAGTGGGAGAGGGAGAAAGCCGAGCTTCTGCTAATGATGGCCTTATCCCTCTCCTCCCTATTTCTCTCTGGAAGCCCCCACTGTCCCTAGCAGAAGTTTGTTTTCTTCTCCCCCTTCCGCTGATTCCTCCATGGCAGCGCTCGCCTCACACCAGGGCAACCGTGGTGTGTGTGTTTGCGTGTGTATGTAACAGAGGATGGATGGGACCGATCAGCTGGGGAAACCAAGGCTTCTTTGCCAGCCTCCCAGCTAACTGGTCACATCCATCCCCCCTTACACACACATACACACACACACACACACAGAGAGAGAGAGAGAGAGAGAACTTGTTGCTGCATGAGGCAAGCATTGGCAGGGAGAAATCAGGGGGAGAGGGAGAAAGCATCCCTACCAGAAATTTGTTTTCTTCTCCCCCTCCAGCTGATTTTTCCTCGGCAATGCTCGTCTCATGCCGCGGCAAGCAAGGTGTCTCTCAAAGAGAATGAGAGTAGCGACGGCTGTTTTGCTGCTGCTTCCAGCCAGGATATATTATGCCAGGCCCTCAGTGGCATCCCGGTACCGGGGGCAAAAATGTGGTGATGGCAAGGACAGGTGGGCCCAGGCTTCCCTTCCTCCCCCCTAGCAGGCTTCTTGCACAGCTTCAGCCCGCGACTCTGATGAGACTCCGCAATCCAGAGCGCTGCCGCTTTCAGCTGGGATATATTCTGCCAGGCCCTCACCTCCCCACCAGCAGCTCCTCCGCTAGCATCCCGGCTGGAAGCAGCAGTGCAAAGCTGCTGCTGGGGAAGGGACGAAGGGATGGCGGCCACTCGTTCTCGCCACCACCACTGGTAACCTGGTAACGGCGACTGTTATGCTGCTGCTTCCAGCCAGGACACTGGATGAGCTGCTGGCAGGGAGGCAAGCTACCTGCATAAAGACGCTGCTGAGGGCCTGGCTCGCTGACAAGGGAGCAATTGCGGTGTCTGCCCAGTCGCTCCTGCCCTTCCTCCTGTGGCTGCCACTGCCACTGCTTTTCTGGGGCACCCGATCCAGCCAGGCACTACAGACCGTGGATGCACGTCACTGCAGTGGGCTGGAGTTGTGCAAGTAGCCCGCTCTGGTGGGGAGGGAGGGAAGGCCTTGCCTGTCCTTGCCGCTGCTGCTCCCTCACCCCCGGCGGCTGTCACAGTGCTGATTCTGGCTGGTGTGGGAGTGGCTGCAGTGGCCGGCCAGCCGCTCCTGCTCTTCCCCTTGTGGCTGTCGCTGCTTTTCTGGGGTGCCAGAGCCAGCCAGGCACTTCGGACCGCAGATGAGCCATGGGGTGGTAGCCTGGGACCAAGCAAGAAGCCCGCTCGGGCGGGAGGGAGTGACATCCCGACCACAACTCTCCTTTGCTAAGAAGTGATGGCCCCTCTCCATGTCTTTTGGCACTTGCAGCCGTTGTTCTTCCTGTTGCTGGTTTTTACGTGTGCATGCATGCGAGGAACCAGATCACCAAATGGCCAACACACATGTGCACCCTGGAAACAAAAAGATAATTTTCCTGGAGTACACATGTACACCGGATGACTTCTCTTCTGCTTTCTGGCATGCCAATGCGCATGAAGACTGTCTGGCTGCTGCACCCAAACCCAGAAGAGCAACTGGTGATGGCTCCATGTGCCAGGAAAAATGGCTCTGTGTGCCATAGGTTCACCATCACGGGTATAGGTTCAAAGAAAAGAATGATCAGGGGACTATAAAGAATGACTGAATGAACTGGGAATATTTAAATCTGAGAAGAATGAGGAAGGATATGTTTGCACTTTTCAAGGACCAGAACAGATGTTACCAAATATTATACCCCTCAGACAGGGTTCGCAACTTGGGAGTCCTCCTGGANGAACCTTTACCTTTATCTTACTTACAGTTGCATTTTTTCTATTCCTCCCAAATCCTACGAAGTAACTTGGATTAAGTTGATTGTGGTCAGTTTGAGTAGAATCTGTTTAGAGTTATAGTTCAGCTTTTCTAGATTCAAGTCTAAAATCTTAACCATTATACTACACTGTTTCTGGGTCTCTTTTTGAGTGGGTCCACTTCTTTCTGAATCATACCTTACAACGACTCCCTTGAATGGCAAATGCAGCCTCTGGTTCTACCATTTTCACAATGACGATGGACTAAAAGAGGCTGTGTGGCATAGAAACCCTAGATAATTATCAAGAAGGAAACATCAAGAAAATCAACCAGCTCCAGGGAATCTCAAACAGCTGTAGAATTTAGGCGTCTAAGCAATGAACTTCTCCTCTCTCATTTTTTTCACCCGAACAGGCTGGAGGTTTGCTAAATTATATGACTGTTAGATGGAGTTTTTTCTTTTTTAAAAGTTGGAGAGAATCAATATTTCTTGTTTCTCCTTCCAAAGATTCTTGGCAGAAAGCATTTGTTGATGGTTCTGCCAACCTGGTGTTCTGGAGAAGCGCTGACCCTCAGCCTTCTCAGCTAACACGGCCTGCGGCAAAAGGCTGTGGGAATTGTAGTCCGCAATTGCCAGATTGTCTGCCTCTAAGTTGCTCCATTGCAGCTGCCTGGTGGGATCCTGTTAGCATCCTTCAATTATTTGTTTTTGATCCTTCGTTGGCTCGTTTTGCATTTCCAGGAATAGAGTGTCAGACCGTCCAGGAATGCAGGTGAGATCAGGAACACCCTGAAACCTGTTCTAGTGAACCATGGAAATGATCTTGGAAAAGGAATGCAGCAGTGAACAAAATAGCAATTAAGCCCA